CAGGAATACAACATAAAACAGGGAAAGAACCTGAGCATCTTAACTAGTGTTTCCCAAATTGTACAGTGAACTGCCTGTCATTTAAAACAAGGTATATAGTCCCCAGCTGTCCAAATAAATGTACAAGGTCTTCATAACATTTTCAAATAAAATGTTGGTGCCTAAAGTGCAACATAGTGGCCAAGACACTTTGAGGATGGACAGTGGAATGTGAGCCCTAAAAAATTTTGGAAACAATATTCTAAACCAATGTTTAAAAAAAAAAGGAAGTAAGGAAGAAAAAATGGTTTGTTAGGAAGAGGTGGTTAGCACCAACTACAAAATCATGAAATGTGTGAACACATGAATACACACAAAAAAGCAAGGAAACAAAATATATTTTTGTTATGTAACAGTAACTAGATGTTGCTTTTGATGATCTTGGGTTTAAATGGGATATTTAGGCGTGTAAAGAACCATGGAGTAACCTGCTTTGTTAATAGAATAAAAAGACCTAGCCTTATATTTGACCGGTATGTTACTAGGAAATTTTTATTATTTAGTATCTCTTTTGATTAATTTGGAAAAGTAGGTTTCCTACCTCTCATACATACACATAAGAGTGGATAGCTCAAGTAGTTAGGACCATGGGAAAATAGAGCTAGAATAGACCTCTGGGCCATGTCCACATGAGTTTGGACATTTGTTTCCCTGGGGGCAAGAAGCAGTGACATACCTTGTAACCGTGCTACTTGTCCCTGGGGACTGCCCATGCCATGCGCCCTCTGGCAAGCAGCATTACCCCAGGTGGGGTAGGGGAGGCTGGTCCCAGCAGCCTTACCTGGGATCCTGGGGGCTGGGGAAGCTGCAGCTATGGTGTTCCTGCAGCTGGGAGCCCAGCCAGCAGCTGAAGCATGGGTCAGGCTGGCCAGGCTCTGGTTGTGGGTGGTGTGCTCTGCCACCACATGTGCTGCCCCACTTTTTTCAGAGGTCAACCCCCGATCCTCGCGATGCAAGGTAGCAGTGTGGGGGATGTCTGAAATCCACCAAATCTCCACAACATCTTCTTTTCTCTAGGCTGAACACTCCCATTACTGTCAGCCTTTCCTCATATGGCTTGCTCTTCAGGCCTGAGGCCAATGCCTCTGAAATGACTTCAATCAGTTTCTTCAGTATGCTAGGGTACATCCCATCTGCCCCTGTTGACTAGAAATAATACTAGTCCCCCCCTCCACCCCCATCCCCCCATCTCCAAGATCCATGCAGAGAAAGGCATACATCTTTTTTAGTACAGGTCTCGCATTGTTTATATTACAAAAACAACAGCAAAAAACCCTCTGTGCCATAAAAAGGTGACTTTTTTCAACAAATGAAAGAGTAAATGTAAGCTTCAGACATACCTCCCCCTTTTTTAATTTGCATGTGACACTGCTTTCATTCTATTTCAGGTGAATGTAATGAAGAGAATGAGACAAAAAGAGAGCGAGAAAGAGAGAGCAGTGGAGTGGGATAAATCTGAGCTTTGTAATGGGTGATTGAATTGATGGTCACCTTGAAAACAGTTTATTGGGTTTCCTCTGGATGCAGCATAAGGGACCAATTACAAAACTGAAATAGAATAAGGGAAATGTGCCAGGATGTGAGATGTGGGTTAGCAGAACAATGACTGTTTAGAGCAGGGACTAAAACCAAGGTGGACTCTGTGAGCTAACTGGAGGCCTGCAGCAAACTGGGGGAGAGGGGAACTCTTAAAGCTGGAAGGGATTCCTGGTAGTTCTCCTTGGATCAACTGTAGATGCAAACCTGGGGATACCATTGCTAGGTCTTTAAAGAAAGAAGTCCCAAAAAGAAATGGCGAGCCCTTCTCCCCTGATTTTGACATATCTAGGTAAGGTGAGACTGCTTTGGGATCAGGGACCTGTTCTCACAGAAGGGCCTGGGTTATGAGGGCCCATGCACAGGACTGTCTTCTGGAAGTGCCATAGGGCAAATGTAGGTAGCACTCTCAGGATTGAAGCAGCTAGTTAAATAAGTATGGTGAGTCTGATCTAGGGGCATGGCTTACAAACAATTGAAATGTACATGTCTCTGGAGCAGGGATGAGCTGGCTGGTTAATCAGTAGTAGTGGTCCAGGGAATGTAAAGGTCTGTATAATCAGAATAAAACTACTGCCCCAAGAAGAAATAGCTATAACCTTGCTCTGAACACCATTACAATGGGAAGTAAGAGAAGCTCATAAAGTATTAGAAGAGCAATTTTTTCTAATATTTTTTCTGGTGAACAAGAAAACAAGAAAATGAAACGAGATTTAAGGTGGAGGTTGGTAAATGAGTTGCCAAATTTATGGCCAAAAAGAATTCTTCCACCTAGATTAGATTGGCACAGAATGTATGGTATATACTTTCTTCTGTGGCATGGGGAGTGGTTTCTTTCCTCTGATCATCTGAGCAATATATTAACTATATGCATAATTGTTATAGGGTATTCCTGGACTTTTGGGTATTTTTTCTTGCAACAGGAGTGATGATTCAAAGTGGTGATTTAGGGGATTCCTTTGTTTAACTGTAACTGGTGAATGCCAGGGACTGGTTTTAATGGCCCAGGAGCCCCTTCAAAATGATACTTCTAAATTTATAAACATGTGACATGGAAGCCTATGTTAACAGCAGAATAAATTCAATAACCCAGGAGCACCGTCTCTGTCCTGGGTCATATGTTCCTTTCAAAGACAGAGAATGTATTTTGATTGAAACTATGCACCTTGAAGGAGAATATCCATCAGAGGGCAGTAAAAGATCAAAAGAAAGAGTGGGATCATTCTTCAGAACTTCTGGAAACCCATTTCAGTCATTTTTATCTGTTCTTTCAAAAATTCATTTTATTATTAATTTGTGCTATTATATACTTTATAATGTCTACCCCATTACATCCTTGAAGTTTTGCACTTTAATTTCTTTCCTTTCTCTTCCCTTAGCCTTTAATACAGTAAGTATTAATTTCAAAATATAAAATTAGTGGTTTTGCCCAGTATTTAAAATATTGTGTCCTGCTCTCTGGAACAACATATTTTTGTTTGCTTGTTTTTAATCCCCCTGATAGTTTTAATTTGTAGTTAATCTGATCAAAACCCATACTATTCTACATATGCTATAAAAGGTGATGTAATAGTTGATACACACACACAGACACACAGACACACAGATAAGATAGTTTAAAGAATGGAGAAAAGTCTATAGTTTTCAATTCTATAAGAGGGCTTTGATTTACTTCAACTTACTTTGTTCAGTTTCATTTACTGGCAATCACACTAACCATCATTATATAAACTATGGCAAATTCTAGCAAGAGCAGGGAGGAGAAATACATGATGGTGATGTGTTAGAAAATCTGATTAGTTGGATTTTGCCACCAACTAATTAATTAAAACTGGAGGTGACCTTTTGAAACCAATGAGCCATGCACCTGAATCAGCACTTTTGGAAAACTCTCAGGAAGAGGAAAAAATAGGACATGATCATGAAAATTGTAGCCTGAAATTTGTTCTATATTTTGGCCATTATCTAAGGCATCCTTTATAGGAGGAAAAAAAGGCATCTCATAGACAAAAAATAGCATTCTCTGTGAGCCGAGGGCAGTATTTAGCCCTGTTGATCTGAAGTCAGGCAGAAGGCAGGATAGAGGTACACTAAATAAAGGAGACATGCATACGCATTCATGAGCCCAGCTCACTTTATTAGATGTTGTGAAAGGACATGCACAGAACAGTATTAAAAAATACAAGTAGTTCCTCTCGTCAAAAACAACTAGCCCGAGAACTGGACAAGGTGTCTCATATCTGTAAATAACACCCCCGTGCCCCAACGCGCGCGAGCGCGCCCACACACACACACACACGCGCGCCCCGCGGGAAACATGACAAAGGTATCAAGCCCGAGAGCCCGCCTCTTTCAGGAACCTTGAACGACGCGTGACTAGGTCATCACAGGAAGAAAGGCCATGGAAAAAAAAATACAATGGAGCCAAACCCCACCCCATTTATGCAGGCAGTTCTCAATCAGGTCGGACCTTGGCCTATATATACGCAACCGGGAGTTCAGTTACTTACTTAGTAGTTCCGTTTGCTCATTATGTCGGGTCGCGGCAAAGGCGGCAAGGGGCTGGGGAAAGGCGGCGCCAAGCGCCACAGGAAGGTGCTGCGGGACAACATCCAGGGCATCACTAAGCCGGCCATACGCCGCCTGGCTCGGCGCGGCGGCGTGAAGCGCATCTCCGGCCTCATCTACGAGGAGACCCGCGGGGTGCTCAAGGTCTTCCTAGAGAACGTGATCCGCGACGCCGTCACCTACACGGAGCACGCCAAGCGCAAGACCGTCACCGCCATGGACGTGGTCTACGCGCTCAAGCGCCAGGGCCGCACCCTCTACGGCTTCGGCGGCTGAGCTGCTTTTTCCCATAGCACCGCCCTTTAGTAACCCAAAGGCTCTTTTAAGAGCCATCCACCTTGCCGTGAAAAGAGCTGTTACTCTGCAAGTGCAGTTTTGCCGGTCCTGACCAGCTGGTTACGCTTTCCTCTTTCAGGGAGTCGGTGGTTATTCTGCGGCAGCAAGCAGTAGATGGTTGTACTTGCCAGGATGCGGCTCGCCCTCCCCTGGCTGTAGGTTGTCTGGGCGCCTCCTTATTGTCTGACACGGAAACAAAAGAGCCGCTTCCTCTTCCAGAGAAACTAGTTCCTGATCGGGGTCGGGCACCGCTGCGTTACCTGAAGAAGTCGAGCCAAAGCGGGGGAAAACTTTCTCGGAGCTCCGAGCCGCCCGGCGCCTCCTGTCCTTCCTCCCGTGCCAAGGGACAAGCGCGGGGACGAGACCGGGGGAGGAGAAAGGGCCGGGACTGGCTGGAGACGCGGATCGGGTTTCATCTTCTCGTGGGGACGGGAGGAAATGCAAGCGGGCCGGGGAGAAAGCTAGCCCAAGGCTGGAGGGGCAGGAGGGGGGCTGCCCGCCTGAAATGGGGAAGGAAAAGGTGCCTAAATCCGGTGGCTGCCTCTGAGAAGCCCGCGCCTTGCGGGGACCTGTGCGTGGCTAGGGCGGGCGAGCAGGGGCTGGAACTTGGTTCCTCCCTCAGTCCCTTCGCCCCTTGGAAAGTGCAAATCTTTCTCTCTCACACACACTCTCAC